AGGTGCAGCACTATGTTATAGTCATTATATCTGTAGATATCACAATGTAAGCACTATGTTATAGTCATTATATCTGTAGATATCACAATGTAAGCACTATGTTATAGTCATTATATCTGTAGATATCACAATGTAAGCACTATGTTATAGTCATTATATCTGTAGATATCACAATGTAAAGATTACATTGAAAAGAGTTTATTATCTCAATAGGATTTAACACCAATACTCGGTTGGATAAGAAATACAGGCTTTGATTCGTCTTAGAAAAGGAAAGATATAAATGCATGAACACTTTTTCGAAAGTATTAAAATAGTATTATTTATCTATGAACATTAGAACATGGATGTACATATATTTCGTATACGTCAGATTTGCGACATAACTTTGTATTTATTCATGGAATATTAATGTTTTGAATATACTGAACAAGGGTGAATTTTTAAAAGCACTCAAGATTCACATAACACTGGTGATTTTTCGTTTAAGAATTTCTAAATTGTAAGTTACTTTACTGTTAGCAATTTTACATTAAAAATTAGTTTTTGCTTCGCACGCGTCTGAACTGCGGCTAAAGCCTTTTTTTCGACGTGCTTTACAGACAGAATTTATGACTGGAACGTAAGCTTTAGTTACGTGCGACTTAAGGCTAGTAGCTACGATTGTCATCACTTTGAAAGAGAAGTAACACACAAAATGAGTATAATCAGAAAACCTGGAAACGCATTTACATCTTTATCATAGAAGAAACCACCATTCTCAGCTTGGTGTTAACACTGACAGTTTCCTTTGTTTGCCCAATCTACACCAGACCAGTATTTCTTTACTAAGATTTCACGATGTCATGCACAACACGTTAACGTTTACTTAAGTATATTAGGCAGCAAGAGGTTGTTTTGTGCTCCATTTTTAACATTTTCTTCCTTTCCAACGTACTCATTGTATTCATCTTATGCTCTTGTAAGGGTTGTGACCAAGATAAGATATCGTTATCAGTAGCTTTCTTTTTAATGCTGACAGTTTAAGCTTGTCTCATGAGATATAACTCTTCGTAAATTCCTCATACGAAAACAATGTCCTTACCATAAAATAAAATTCTCTCCACGTGTCTAATACAGTTTTTCCCAGCTTTAATCGATCACAACATGCGCATTATTCAAGAGAACATATAAATCTTTATACGGTCACGAATATCTCTAATTACCATATGCTTAAATATAAAATGCTACTTTCAGTGAACACGTAAACCATGTTTTATACTACAATATTCGTGGTAAATTATAAAAAAAATGGTCGTATCAATTGTACAAAAAAAAAATCAAGAATGATGAATAATCAAATTTGTTGTTTTTAGATATTTAATGACTTTTATCAATCATAAATAAAACAAAGATTTATCATACTATCAAATTATTTTCAGATTTATTAAGTTACAACATTTTTTATATAAATTATATTATCTTCTTATTACGTAATTAAAAATATGTTGAATTATACGACAAGCTTATATTATTGCATCAATTCTACCCTTACATTGAACATTTTAACGATTAGATACCTAAAGAGTAAAAAGTCGTTAGAACTGTATATCATTTATGAGTTATTCAGATGACCGATCATTTAGATTACAAACAAAGACCATACCTCTTTTGGTAGCTCTAAAGTTGTCATAATGACCAAGTCGCTCTACGTGAGCAACTAAAATGGATCTGGGTAACGTATTACTGTCAGCATTTATTCTCTCTACAGCTAATCGGAAAGCAAACTCTTCCTCGTCGTCATCAATATCAAACAAACCACCTGACGAATGAATCAGGATATGTTATTGTTCCTTATTATCAACTAATATCAACTTAAAAACTCTCATAGTACAATAATAAACGAGGAATTATTTTAAAATTTGTGTATCTTTCAATGCAATACAACGTTTAGTCATAATGTAGCAAATAACTTTAAAACTTTGCTTTATTTAAATAATGTTTGTAATATTCTTGGTCAATAACAATTTTGAACATTGTCTACTCGAATCACGTGGTGAATCAATACTGTATTCACAATAGATTCGTCTCTGTGGTTGACAGTATCAAGAAACCAATACAATCCCTAATATAAAATGAAAAGAAAATTGACAGATAAAAACATCAATATTTCATTTGAGCCGATTGATCTTCTTCTCAACAAAAATGATTGAAACTAAATTTCACCAAATATGAACATGAAATCTACTTATAGCGAATGTAATGGGTTAATACTTAGTCTTGTAAAATATGTGGAATCCAGGGTAACATAAAAAGTTCGAATGGTGATCATTTTAATATAGTATTAAAGCAGAGGATTATATAAGGCAAATATAATCTAATCAAAAACACCTTAGGTGTGAAAAATGGTGAGGCCAAAAAAGGATTGAGCTTGCGACTTAAAGGAATGATATCAAAATTGGTGGCCAAACTGGTAGCAGCGTTTTTTGCTCAACTTGGGGCATGATAGTGGGTAAAACAAAATACGCAGCTAAGCTAATTAATGAATGAATATTTACTGTAAAATTCTTATCAATGCTATAAGTGTAGCTACCAGTTTGGCCACCAATTTTGATTTCATTTCTTTAAGTCACACGTTCAATCCTTTTTTGGTCGCAACTTCTTTCACACCTAAGATGTTTTTGATTAAATATCATGACTTTTTGTCAATATACACCAACAAACCATAGCAAGTAAGAAAGTGGCATTCCATAGTAACCAACATTAGCTTTAGGATCGCAACCCTATTACTCGGAACAGACCTTTAATTTACAGAATCAACCAGATTCTTCAAATTATATGGTGGTAGTTTTCCTTTCTAAAACAGTGTTAATAACTCCCTTTACAGTAACGCCATAGAATTTAGATTAACAGTTTCTTGTCATCAATCCCATGCAATCGAAACAGCCATATCAAACATCGGTATTTACGCTAATTGCTTAAGCTAATATTACGCGACACTAAACGCCCTTTAATAAGAAGAATTTCATAAAAGTTAGCAAACTTGTGCTTAGAAGTTACCAATGAATAATGAATAATAACCGTCTACAAGTATATTTTGAAAACTTGAGCCAGAAACTGCTTACCTAGTTTGCCTGGCCTATCCAATACTTATGTATCTGCACGTCCTTTCACCTTATAGTTTTGCTGCTCTAAATCAGCCATCTTTAAACCGAATGACAAAAAATTAAAAACGGTGAACCTTAACTCTTGGATAAAGCTGTAGTAAGAACCTTAAACTGAAAGCTCACGTGACTTTTTTGCATAGGCGTGCGCAAAAAGTTTCGTCAAATTTGAACGGTTTTTGTTGAATAACTTTGCACATGTAAGTTATACTTTTACCAAGGGAGACTCCTAATTGTGGGTTGAAAAGAAATATTAGTGTACGAAATTTGAAAAAAAAATCCATAAAAGTTAGATATATTTTTCTATCAAATAAAGTTTCCGTACTTTTGGTGCGAAGAAAAAAAAATAGGAAGAAACTCAATCAAGATTGGAGGTGTTATATGTAAGGTATTTCTTAATGGATTGCCTTGAAATTTGGTATGCGAAGTAAGAGACCAGTAGAGCATATCCACTGCAAATATGTGATAGGTTGAATTACTACAGTCCGAAATAAAGAAGGTGGAAAATCGCTAAACTATCACTCCTGTTAATAACACACAGTTAGTCCTGCATCAGGTTGTTTTGGCCGCACGACACACTACAGTGTATCTTAATCAATACGTTGTTGTTTGAGTGCAAAACTACACAATGGGCTATCTGCTATCTATCCACCGCGGGGAATTGTATCTGGAGTTTATGGTTGTAAGTTGTTGTTTGAGTGCAAAACTACACAATGGGCTATCTGCTATCTATCCACCGCGGGGAATTGTATCTGGATTTTATGGTTGTAAGTCCATCAAGTATCACAAACCGAAGAATGACATAATATGTAAATACAAATATTTTACTTTCAAATCAAACGTTTTAGGAATGAAACAGTAACTATCGGATCAGATCAGAAGAAAATATATGAAGTTTACTAAAAAATGTGATTTTAACCTTTTAACTTCCTCATGGTCCTAATACTGTATCAATTCGGATATATTTCAGCATGAGTATTAGGTTTTGATATATATGACACACCAAATGTTTTATAGTAATAGCTTGTTAAAAGTCTATTAACGAAAATGCTATATTTAAAAAAGTTATGCTTAGTTCAAAAATCAGTTTTTATTTCAAACATTTTGGGTTGTTTTGCATATGATAATTTAATAATCAAAATATGCTTATGGAAACTCACACGCGTAAATACCATTGTAAATTAACCCACTATATGTGTTTTGTGTATGGTACAAAATGTCAGCTCTTAAATATACATGAACATATCTGATTTTGATGCGGTAATGTAAAAAAGTCATTTTTATATAACATAACACTATAGCACATTTAATGTTGCTAACAAAACAACTAGACAAAACATGTGTTAATAACTAAAATTGTTGTAATATTGATAACAAAAATATCATTATTTGTTCTTCATACTTGTCGCTTTCTACTGGTGCAGCAGTATGGTTAAGAACTAATAACAGCGCAGAAACCCCATTGTGCAGCTCCGCACTTAAACAGAAACAAATTCATATTGGCAAACGTATTTTTATGCATACGTTTTTTTCTGCTATAAGCACACAAAAAAAAATGATCTTGGCAAGAAAGTGTTACGCGTGCTTGGGTAGTTGCTGTGATCTGGTTGTTTACTGAGTTATAGTATGTAGCTATATGGTTAGTTCAATTATATACCTTATTTAGATTTTTTAAAGATTATGCAAAATCACACATACACACAAAAGCACGTGCGTTGCTAACTTAAGACTTTTATTTTTGGGTTTATTACTAAATGAATAATGGAGGACTTAATAAAAGCATAAAATCCTTACAAAACTACGAAAGCAAAGTAACTACTAAAATATACAAAAATCATAAAATCACAAAAAATCATATATATACAATAGAAAAAGTAGGATACATAAAAATATTTTCTTGATAATTCAGCCAGTTCTTATGGAAAACGTTAAGGCGCAGTTCTAAGTATATTACAGAAAATAGTATCGCTAGACTATGCGAATCTATTGTTACGAATCCAGCCAAAATGATAATAATTATGGACTGTAAGCTCGAAGAACCTTAATTCCCACAGAAGAACGTGTGAGAACCGACTGAAATATAATTAACTAATACAGAAAGTAAACGAAGCACTTGATAAGATGTTCAGTATATTGCATCATTACTATTAAAGATGTGTTAAACAGAACATGATTAGTGCTAGTAAGATGAAGGTATAAGTAATATTTACCCAGAAGAATCTTTTCTGGTATGGACAGAACTTGCACAAAATAAGAAGAGATCAACAAGAGGCGAATTACTGTCGTGGAAGTCACCCTCTTCATGTTGTAAAAGTATTCTGGCTTTCACACAGAGAAACGTTTATACCTTTTCGATGATAAATCATAACCTTTGCTACGTATGGTCTATACACGACACCTGCACAAAATAGATTTATATGACTAAAGTGAAACAACGAAAAACATTAGTTCACATCTTTGAACAGAGAACCAACCGCCACGGATGAGATGATCTACAAAACACTAGGGAGGCTCCCAGTGTCTCGCCTTTCTACTTCGATTTTTGTATTCAACTTAGCGCAATCCTGTTGGCATCCGCGTATACTGAGAAGCTGCTGCACATGCGCCACAGTAAGCCAGTTTCTTGGGCTCTGCTTCTTCTGACTTGTTGGCAGAAACTGGAAGTGAGACGAAACCAGTATGACAGATGTAGACACAAGCCAGTAAAATTGTTGTAAATTATTTTGCGTATTATGGAGATGAGTGTCGTTGGAGAATGTGTAGCAATGATTGAAATGTATTTTAGACGAGGTCAAAAGTAGACGACAAGAAAATAGATATATTTTGAAGAAATACTTCATAGGCCTAATTATTCCCCTTTTAAGCCACTCACTCTTACGTGGAACTCAAAAATTGCTAGTGGTTTATATATTTGATCAGAATAACCAATAATGGTATCGAAAGATTAGTTGATAAATGCGTTAATGAAATTTATATATATATCTCAAATAGATATAGAGACTAACTCATGTATTTAATTCATATAGAAAGTAATAACTATATACTGCTACTTAATAATACAAATACTTAGCTTCATCAAGTAGAATCGCATAATATCGACTTAACTGGACTATGAAAAATGATGACTCATTTCTGAGCTAGTAACAATATGGGTTTTTTACCTAATGTAAGCATGAATAATTTTAAAGAAACAATCTCTAAGATATTGTGTAACTGTTAGTTAAGAAACGGTAAATATCTTACGATCCAAACTACGAAGAAAAGATCAAATTTATGGCGAAAGTGAGTAGCTAGTGAGTCAGATGGATTTCAGTTAGATTCAATTAGAAAGGTGCCTAATAATTTCAATACACTAAATCCAGTACGTAGAGTCCAGTCAACTAATTTATTAGCTTATATAGGAGCAAATGTTTAAACTTAGATATAAGATTTGTGTGATGTTCATACTGTAGTGGTACATATATATATATATATACTTATGCCATTCTTTATTGTATGTTACCATATAAAACGTCTAAGGTATATGAAATCTTGACCGGGTATAACCTTATATTAGCGTATCCGACGATGGGTCTAAGGGTCCAATATTATCATCCTGTTTCCATATAAAAATATCTTTCTCAGCAGTTTTAGGCCGTGGATGAGCTATACCACTGCCATTTAAATTCCGCTATTAGTTCAGATAAGATTAGCAAAACAGATGGCAATGGCTGCTGTGGACTAGCTTCCTTCCCTCTTGTCTGATAGTTCAAACTTAGGGACGGCAATGGCTGCTGTGGACTAGCTTCCTTCCCTCTTGTCTAACAGTTCAAAGTTAGGGACGGCAATGGCTGCTGTGGACTAGCTTCCTTCCCTCTTGACTAACAGTTCAAAGTAGGGACGGCAATGGCTGCTGTGGACTAGCTTCCTTCCATCTTGTCTAACAGTTCAAAGTTAGGGACGGCAATGGCTGCTGTGGACTAGCTTCCTTCCCTCTTGTCTGATAGTTCAAACTTAGGAACGGCAATGGCTGCTGTGGATTAGCTTCCTTCCCTCTTGTCTGATAGTTCAAACTTAGGGACGGCAATGGCTGCTGTGGACTAGCTTCCTTCCCTCTTGTCTAACAGTTCAAACTTAGGGAGGGCAATGGCTGCTGTGGACTAGCTTCCTTCCCTCTTGACTAACAGTTCAAAGGTAGGGACGGCAATGGCTGCTGTGGACTAGCTTCCTTCCATCTTGTCTAACAGTTCAAAGGTAGGGACGGCAATGGCTGCTGTGGACTAGCTTCCTTCCCTCTTGTCTAACAGTTCAAAGTTAGGAACGGCTAGCGAAGATAACCTTTGTGTGGTTCTGCGCGAATTCCCGAAACAAAACAAACGAATACGAAATCTATTTGTGAACCTTAAAACAAATTGAATACATTATTGCATGGAAGAAAAAAATATTACAATAACTGATTCATTGCAAAATTTCTCGCTTAAAAGCCATCAGAACATTACAATAAAACATGCTTGCAAATTCCAGTTAAAACAACAACAACTAAGACCCGGTGTAGAAATGTTATTCGCTTTGAGACAGTAATTACTATACCAAAATATTGTGTAAAGAGTGAAAAATGCTCCTTTTTGACATCTAATTGGTGGTAAGTTGTACATCGGCAATACGGGTATTTTAAAAAGTAAGGCATAGGCACTATGGAGAGACACACTAACACTACATATCTGCGGATCGCGGGTTCGAATCCCCGTTACACCAAACATGCTTGCCCTTTCAGGCGTTATAATGTGACGGTCAATCCCACTATTCGTTGGTAAAAGAGTAGCCCAAGAGTTGGCTTACACTGCTAAATTAGGGACGGCTAGCGCAGATAGTCCTCGTGTAGCTTTGCGCGAAATTCAAAACAAACAAACCAAACCAAGTAAAGTAAGCTGTTTTACTTTGTATTTAGTTTCTGGACTAGTTACTGTTTTTAGTATCATCTAAAAATTAATATAAATATTACGTAACTTTTACAATTTATGTATATTAGATAAAACAAAAACTAGTAAAGATACCGAATGAGTGTGTTATATATTTTTTTTCTACTGAGTAAATACATATATATATATAATTTGAACTGTAGAAAGGTAGCTCATTAAATGAATATACATGTTGGAAATATCCTATATTTTACAAAATTTTAAATTCAAAAACAACTAAAATGGGACAGAAAAAAAATGTATAATTTAAAAGCCGTTTTTCGCCACTGATGACGTGGCATCATCAGGTATTCAAACAGTTATACACGACACTTAAGTACGTTAAATGAATGCAGGGATGGCGGGTTTCTGCATTTTATTTCTCTACAATAATTAAGCGTATTTCAGATAATTGACGAGTCTGCTGTATGAAAGTTTGACATTCAGAATTATTGAGAAGTAGAATGTATTTACGGATTCACAGATAATTGACGAGTCTGCTAACATTCTACTTCTCAATAATTCTGAATGTCAAACTTTCATATCCGTAAATTTCACC